TAGATGACAAACAAGAGAGTTAGATACATAGAACAGAGAAACATAAAATAGAGAGAAATGATAGATGATGAGGGATTTATTAGATAGGTGATGATAACAGAGAGACAGATGACAGAGAGACAGAGAGCAATACATTGACTCATGTGAAATCTGAAAGTCAATGTGTTCCATGCTTCTCCAGTCTCATTTTAACACATGATATTCAGTATGATTTCACTGCATCATCCTACCTCCATTTTCTATGGAACATTTTCTTTTTAAAATATTCTGCTTTCAGCTCTTATTTACATAAAACAATGATTTTGTTTCATTCTGAGAGTATCAGCTTCATTAGTCATTTCTATGTTTGTTTGTTTTTTTAATTAATGACTCCAGTCCTGGACTCTTTAAGTAGCATGCCTATGTTTGAAGAGCCTTTTCCATATCTGTATTTCCAATCTTTAGATTTGGCTGAACATCAGACACAAGGAACAATTTGAATAGGTCTTTTAAATCCACATAATCTCCTCCATCAAACCAAATGTAATTTTTCTTTTAGCTGCTAATACCCTGTTTTACAGAAGAAAATTCTGATACGTGCCTGGTATTTGTTTCTACATGATTATACTTTATTTCTATTTGTATTTCCTTCTGTGTGGAATTTTGTTGAATTTTAAAAATTTTGCCTTTGGGGAAAACACCACCGGATTTATTTCACTGTAATACTGCTAAGGTTATCTACAGTCTTTGATCTACAGATGAGTATATATTCCATTTTCTAAATCTGTATCATAATATTTACTGTCTTGCATCACTTTCCATATTCACTGGAGAAGTGAGAAGAGAATGGTTCCGAACTAGTGATAACAGGGTCACGGGGCATGGATGACTTGTTCGACTACTTTGGTTCTCATGAGTTCTTTTCTTTCCTTTTTCCAGGTTTAAAAATAGGAAGGCAGATCTGCATGAAGGAAACTTAACTCAGCTTCCATGAAAAGTCATCATATTAGATTTGCCAAATTAGATTTTTCTTACTTTCTCTTCCTGGTCTCTGATTCTATAAATTATTTTTATGCTAGGAAACAAAAGAACTAGAGTCCTTATGTGACATTCATCTTGTAAAATAAAAGTCATAATTACTCATATATATATACTACTTCCAGCCCACTATCTCCACAAGTCCTTAACTAATTCATGTAACTAGAGTTTTCCTGCCTTGCCCACAGTTAGGACAAATCTCTGTCACC